ATTCGTTTTGGCATATTCATTTCTCTGGATATTCTTGAAAATACGGCAGCTTCTACTTTGGATTAGAACTAGTCGAAGAGATCATATATTTATCATTTCGATTCGAAGATTAGTTTTTTAGGACTAACTTTTGTGTCCTAGATATCTTGCTTCCTCTTTCTGATGACCCTTTTTTTTTGGCCTTGTGAAGTTACTAATGAAGGAAAATTCAGACGAAGCGGCCCAATCTGAAGGTAAATTTCGTAATTACAATCCTGGCAGTTCTCTACTATGATTTATCCCTTCAAACGAAAAAATTGTAATGTGAAATATGTGATTGGTTATGACGTCTTTGCTCGTTTTACATTCTACTGTTTGTTGGATTATTTACAAATTAACTTTCTAAAAATAACGATGTTCTTCGTATAGCTTAAATCATCAATGAAGGTCTTATTTCTTGTAATCGTTTCTTGACGTGAAGATCTTTATGTGCACTATTAATGTTTTATTGCAATTTTAATTCATGAATATATATGTCGTTTCTACCCTTTGTATCGGCTACGGATCATTTCTTATTCCAGGGGAGATACGTATACCTAGTCTTGCAGAAGTGAAGAGGGAGTTGGAGAGGATGAAATTGATTCTCGAAACAAAAGGCCACCTTATTGACCCTCATATCAAAGCCTATCTTTTACAAGAGACTTTGCGCCTCCTTAACAAAGTGAACACTGCCGCCGAGTCTTCTACGTCTCAGTGACACCATATGTACCGATGCGTTAACCTTTTTCATACTTTAATTTTGAGCAATATTGTTTTTTTGGTTTAGTTTTTTGTGAGTTTGGCGAATCAGCTTGACATGAGTGAACTGTTTGTTTTTTATTATAAAATATATCTTTAATTTCGTAGCAAAATGTTGTGTTAGTTGTAGGCTTGTAGCTGTTTCATTTTCTCCTACATTGTAATTCGTACCATAATTCAATTTTCTTAATAATATAAAACGGATGAGTATCAATATTTTAAAAATCGGACCGGACATTGACCGGAACAAGCTATTGGATCATGGTTGGACCAGTTTAATCGGTTTTTTCATTTTTTAGACATTTTTAAGTAAATAAAAGATATTTTTTTCACACATTAACTCATTACTAATTTCCAATTATAATTTAGATCCGACTTATTTTTCTTATACACACATAACATATCAACAAACACATATCACACCGAATCATAGTAAAAAGACATCGTTTTGGCCATTTTATTTGTTTATTTTTATTAAAAAAACACAATTTTATGAAGGAAAAAAAACCCGATTTTCACTCAGGTTTTGATATTACATTTCAACTGGTCAAACTGGACCGAACAAGACAATGATTGGCGATTTTGAACCGGCCGGTTCGGTCCAGTTTCGAAACGCTGAGTATAATACAATTTGATAAACTTCCAAGCCATCACGCAGCTGCAGCTGGTTATGCAATGCCATTTTATTTTATCTTTTCTAGTACATAGTTTATGTAACAATAAAATAAAAAATAATGTAACTTATTTTCATTATTTTGATATTTTCTTATATTAGGTTTGGAGCATTTTTTTTAAGAAAATTAAATCATGCGACGAATTAGAAAGTAGGAGAGTGACATGATTCATTACGTACTTTTAACTTAACCATGAGCTAGTAACAACTCTCATTATAATATTAGTCTAAAATTTATATAGCGAACAATAGTAGTAGTTGTGCTAAAATTCAAAATAATGATAAATATTGGAATAAATTGGGTTTCAAGAGTGATTCAAATAGCAATCGAAGTCTCTTCCATGGTATTATTTGATGAATCTTTTTTAGGTTTTTCAACTTGAAAAAAATAATAATAGGGTTTAAATGCAACAATTCTTAGTTAGAGGGGTTAAATTCATATTAATGCTTAGTTAGAAGGGTTGAAATTATATTGATGCTTAATTTGCAGCATTGAAGTGATATATAATGCTTACTTTAAAGGGGTTTGAACTTTAATTTATTTAGCAAATGATCATCAAATAAAAATGCCTTTTCCGACAATCAGTTGTAAATTGTAATCTCTCCCCTTCCCAGATTAAACCCCATAGGTGGCAGTTGCAATGTCCATGCCCACCGTCGCCGCCGCCGCTGCCGCAACCGGCCGTTACCCCTCGCCATATTCTTTCTCGGAAGATATTGTGAAGGCGCACGGTAAATCGAGGATGGAGCTGGTGAAGAAGAGATGGGAAAATAAGAGGCATTCCAACAATATGACTACTGTATTGGTTAATGTTCTCCGGCTATGCTCGCCGCCGTGGTTATGGTGGTGGGAGATATATGAAGTAAATTGGATGTGGAAATTCTTCATCAGATGGCTATTTCCAGATTGTAAGCCATTAAATTTACTGTTTTGGTGAATTGTATGAAAATGCAATTGCCTTTAATTTCTCTATGCCTTTTTTTGATAGCAAAATTTCGAGTACTTTGATCGAATTAATTGGGGAACCTCATACCTAATTGAACTCTTGGGAGATTCATATTTGCAGTGGCTTTTTTTTTTTCGTTTCCCTGTGAATTATTATATCAATGTATAAGTATAAGTGATTATATGATAATACCGTAAAATTTTCAACTGTTGCAATTTCTATTGCCATATATTAATTTTTACCTTTATAGAACAATGTGTTAGGTTGTATGCCTTACAATCCTGTCTGTGTGGCTACCATGCTTCTGTCATACTGGTTACGTTTATAGAACAATTGCTGCTCCTTATTTAGAACTCATATTGTCTATAGGAAATGGTTCCTGCGAATTTTACTTCTCATTGTTTGAAGGAATATGGGGCATGATCGAGACCTGGCGAGAGATGTATTTTCAGTATCAGGTAATATTTTAATCTGGATATTGAAGCCTAGTTTTCGTGCTTATTGAGTTTATATTGTTGGAATATGGGGCATGATCGAAAAGTGCTTCATCTGATAACCTTTATATGAAAGAGCATATATCGCATAAATTACTTTATTTCAAGTATTGATCAAATATAGTATACACATTTCAAGTTATGAGATGAGTTTCCAGGATATACTATGATTAACTCGGAAAATAAAAAATTAGAAAGAAAGCGAGACCAGTCAAGAAGCCCTTGTATACTAAGTCCGTGCTGTAGTTTCTTAAAAAAAACATTGGCCTTATAAATGGCCTACAACCCGTTCCCAAAGAGAATTGAACCCTTGACTTAATACAAGATGACAAACTTAAGAAATGAAGATAGTCATCAAATAGGACTCTTTTGTGTGTCATGGTAATAAAACAATTGAAATTCTGGTTGCCAAAAAATCCACTGATTTCCACAGTTCTGTGTGCATGTGGTACCGATTAATATGGCAACGATTTATTGGTCACGGGGTACAGTCTTGAATATAATAACTAGTTTGCTTATGCATTTAAGGAGTGCACCATCATCTTTCTAGTCCTGGTTTTTATTATACTTAACTATTTTACCACAGTAATAATTTTGATAAAATGAAACCTTGCTAGATCATTTAAAATGGTCTTGGGTTGTTTAGTCCTTGAGTTTTTGCTTTATTCATACCTAGGTAAACTAAATTAATGGCTCAAGGAAGTTCACAATAGACTGTATGGTACATTTCATATCTCGCCAAATGTCATTTTGCTGCTAGCTACGATTGGTGTAATTGCTAATATGTAAAATTAGCTGGCATCGTCACTGGATATGAAGCAATTTATTAGGGTTCGATATAATCAATGCTGACCTTATCACTTTTATTGGCGTAGTTTCCTACAAATAAATTTTACCCTCCCCTCCCTATTCTCATTCTACTTTCTCACACATTCTCTGCATCTCTCAACCCCTCGTTCAATTTTCCATCCCCATCTCCTCATTTTCTCTTATCAAAGTTTCAAAATCAAAGCAGTTTGTGATCTGATTTAGGTGATTTTACTTCATTTTGTGTTTGAATGATGCCTATGCTTTTAAATGATTTTTTGTTGGTTTTCCCTTTTTTCTTAAACTTGATCAACTGAGTGGTCTCTATCTCTCTTTGGCTGTCTAATTTTCCATCACTTTAATGTTTCATTTTATGACTTATACGGTATCTTTTATTTTAGATTAGAAAAAAACATGTTTTTGTTGTCATCTTGATTTTGAAGATAAGATTTTGAACTAGTTTTTTTATTCCGCCTTTTGATGTTTTTTTTTGTGGTTATGTTGTACAAATTAACAAATTTGGAAAAATTTTGTTCCGTATATAAGTTGGATTTAATATATGCTTTTATTATTACTTGTAATTAAAAAATAAAATAATAAATTATAATAGAATGGAACAATCCTTGTGAAGAAACCAATAACTACTATTATTTACTTTTACAATTTTTTTCTACTGTATTCTTCAAATAAATGTACAAATGCTTAGTGGTTTAAATTTGGGTTGTTGTTCTTTGCTAGTCGTTAGGTTACAATAAATTAATGTCTTGAAATAACTTCATTCTCTCATAGATTTTGTAACTTTTAAAAGACATTTTCCAGCCTAGGCTATGTAAACATATTAACAATTTAATTTTCATTTTTGTAATATTTATTTAACACATTATGGAGAATTAGGACCAGTTTTACTGTCAGTGTGCATAAGTAGTAAGTAGCAATATAAAATAATTATTTTTCCTAAAATGTTTGTAAGGAATGCTAATTCTAGATTTTCTTCCTGGATTCCTCCAATTTACTGGCATGGTAAGTAAAAATAAAACATTTTTGGTCAGTGAAAAGAAAAATTATTTATATATTATGTGAATGTGCATAAGTAGTAAGTAGCAATAATATAAAATAAATATTTTTCCTTGAATTTCCGATATAATTCGATACTGGGGCCCTCCATTTTACAGGCATAGTAAGTAAAAACATTTTTGGTCGCTGAAAAGGAACTTTATTTATATGTTCTGTGAATCTGCATAAGATTGTAGTAATAAGCATAAAATTGCAACAATCAGCATTAGATTGCAGTGAGCAGTATCGGCTTACGGTAATCAACACAATTTTCCTTTTTTGCTGGTAGGACATCCTTATTTGGTCTTCCCTGGAACAATTACGCATACATTTTTGCCATTGCAGTTAAGAGAACGTGGTGCCTGATTGAGAAAACGATTGAAAAACAAGATTTACAAAGGCAATTAGGAGTTGAAATGAGGCCGTGGAGAAGTACAAATGAAGATGCATCTTCTGCTGGAAATATGGAGATGAACAAACCCAACTTAAAGGTAAATTAGTAATGTTAATTGTGACAGATCTATCTGAAAAAAAATGTGAAAAGGAAACTAACATGTTGCCTTCCGTAGTCTGTATATCAATCAAGATTTGAAATTCTATCATATCCTTGACCATTTCATAACTATGAACAACATTTTATTTTCCCTTTTAACAACTTCAGATCATAGTTCTAAAAACGGAATAAGAATTGATATTCAAACGTGAGGACAATGAGTTCCTATGTTAATACTTTTTTCTTTGGGTGTGACAGAAGAAAATAAGCGATTCAAATAATTGCCATCAATGTCACAGAAACGACAAAGGAAGAGTCGTAAGATGCACAAGGTGCAATAAGAAGGGTTATTGTATTACATGCATACCAAATGGTGAGGAATTGTGGGTTATTTTTTGTTCCCGTCTTTCAGCTCGGTATTATGGTACTAACATCTTTTCTTATGACAAAAATCATTGGCAGGAATCATCTTATGCACAAGTGATTATAATGGAACACTCGTTTTCCCTTCCCCCACTCATTCCCATATCTCCCATCTCTCGCTTCCGCTTTCAGTTTTCTTCTATCATTTTCTCAGACATTTGTAAGTTTTTTTATTTAGTTTTCGAATGATGACCCCCCCCCCCCCCCCCCCTCCGGTTATATTCAATATTTAATTTTCCATCTTCCAACTATTTTATCGGATTGATGATTTTTTATTTATTCTGGTTCAAAATCAGATGACATGTCGTTTAACGTCATACGCAATTTATTTTTGTTTTTGAATTTTGTACTTTCCGATCTTTCACCCCCCCTCCCGTGTTGATTATCCAGTTATTTTTGGCAATTTTCATTTCTCTTGATATTCTTGAAAATACGGCAGCTTCTACTTTGGATTAGAACGAGTCGAAGAGGTCATATATTTATCATTTAAGATTTGAAAATGACCCTTTTGTGTCCTATCTATCTTGCTCCTCTTTCTGATGACCCCTTTGTTTTTGGCATTGTGAAGTTACTAATGAAGGAAAATTCAGACGAAGCGGCCCAATCTGAAGGTAAATTTCGTAATTACAATTATGGCACTTCTCTACTATGATTTATCCCGGCAATCTAAAAAAATTGAAATGTGAAATATGTGATTGGAAATGAAACCTTTTCTCGTTTTACATTCTTCTGTTTGTTAGATTATTTACAAATTAGTTTTCCGAAAATAACGATGTTCTTCGTATAGCTTATTTCATCAATAAGGTCTTATTTCTTGTAATCGTTTCTTGGTCGTGGTTTACACTTCACATTTTAATTAACTCACAATGTGGCTTGTAATATGTTTATGGGCCGAACAACATTTTCAAAAGGGGAAACTACAGTTTGCACCCCTGAACTATGGGGTCTGTCACAAACACCTCCCTGAACTATAAAACGTAACAAAATAGCCCCTCCATTTTTTGGTCAAACGTTAGAAAATTAACACTGTTAGTTTTTCTGGGCAATTACTTAATTACCCTTAAATGTATTTAATTTTAAAAGTTGGACTAGTCAATTCTTTCTTCTTCTCTTCTTCAACATGTCAGTAGTATCTCTGAGTTAACGTGAACGTGAATGGGGACGCTTCTCCCCACCTGGAATAAACCCAAAACTCCGATGGTTCCATCACACATCGGCCGGGATTCATCCCACAATCGCCGCCTCTTCCGATCCCAAATCTCTGATCCCCAGCAAACACATTCCCACCAACGAAGATTCATCCTCGTATCTCCCCTCGCCGGAATTTTTCTCCGCTCCGGCATCCAAACTGCCCCTCGTCTTTTTAATAACAGGGGAGTATTCATCCTTGTATCACCCCTCCATGGAATTTTTCCCCGCTTCGGCATCCAAACTGCCCCTTGTCGCTTACTATCACATCGCAGGGGAGGATTCCTCCTAGGCAGCGCTCACACAATCATGTTCCACGCCTTTTGTTACCTTCTCAAATTGCCGACGAAATTCTAGCGTTGGTTGTCTCCGTCGATAACCACGACCGACGAGTGGCTAACCAATATCGCTGATTTCTGCAATTATTTTCTGACGGGATCCAACACCAACATAAATATCGCGTACCATAGTTTGCAAGAGAGAGAATAGAAATATTGATTTTTGTTTTGGTTTAACTTTTTGGGTACTCTGGAGGCAAAGTTTTACGATTTTTTGAGTTTTGTTTTGGTTTAATTTAGTGTATTTATTGGTAAAATATGAGTTAAATAATTAATTTATTTTGTAATTAAATTATGTATATTTATAAATATTAATTATAAGAACGTGTGTGTATATACAAGAACGTGTATGTATACATTATATCGAGAGGGAGAGATACGGATGTAGCATATTGAGGGTAAAAAGGTCAAAAAATATTGCAGCTACAAAAGTAATTAAAAAAGGAAAAGTCAACGCGCCACGTCATCATACACAAACGGATTTGAAACGGAGGGGTCATTTTGTTACGTTTTGTAGTTCAGGGAGGTGTTTGTGACATACCCCATAGTTCAGGGGTGCAAACTGTAGTTTCCCCTTTTCAAAATGTCAATACTCTGTTTGGCTCAAGTGTCTTTTCGTTCATGAATTTTGAGTCGTGAAGATCTTTATGTGCTCTCATAATGTTTTTTTGTAATTTTAATTGATGAATATATGTCGTTTCTACCATTTTTATCGACTACGTATCATTTCTTATTCCAGGGGAGATAGGTATACCTAGTCTTGCAGAAGTGAAGAGGGAGTTGAAGAGGATATATTGATTATCGAAACAAAAGGCCACCTTATTGACCCTCATATGAAAGTCTATCTTCTGCAAGAGATTTTGCGTCTCCTTAACAAAGTAAACACCGCCGCCGAGTCTTCTACATCTCAGTGACAGCATATCTACCGATGCGTTAACGTTTTTCATTCTAAAAATTTGAGCAATCTTTTTTTTTTCTTTTTCGTTTTTTGTGAGTTGTAGTGACTTTGGCAAATCAGAATTGACATGAATGTTTTTTGTTTGGCTGCGGCTATATGCAACACTAATTCCACTTGTGCAAGACCAAATTAAAGAAAGATTCCAAAAGATTCCATTTTATTAAGATGAAATGACACATATACCCGTTAATTCAATTGTCTTTTGTTTGCTCATACAAGACCAAATAACAAATTAAAAAAAAAAAAACCCGAAAAGAAGAAAACAAAGAAAACGTGAAATTAAAAAAACTAAAAAAACCCAGCACCCCCCTTCTCCCCTGTGAAATCCTACCATACGCCCAAGCGCCACCAAAGCTCCGTCGCTGACCACCGCTCTTGATGCGACGTTCTTAATATCTTGTACACATTTTTGTTGGATGAATTTGGACAATAATCTGAGTCTTTGCATTTGGCTTTTGCTAAAAGAGATAGATGAATATTGAAATAAAAAGTAATTGGGACATAAAAAGTTAAAAAAATAAGAAACAACTAAATTTCGACATTAAAGTGTCGAATATATGCCATAAATTTGACACCTTAATGTCGAAATTTAGTATATTTGGACTAATTTGCTAACAGTTAAATTTCGATACTAAGGTGTTGATTTTTACTTCAAAATCGACATCTCAGTGTCGATTTTTACCTATAAAATTCGACATGTACATGTCAATCGCGTCTGCGCGGGATTTTAAAAAAACATATATATGAAACAACTAAATTTCGACATTAAGGTGTCAAATATATGTCCATAAATTCGACACCTTAATGTCGAAATTTAGTATAGTTGGACTAATTTGCTAACAGTTAAATTTCGCACTAAGGTGTCGATTTTGTACTCCAAAATCGACATCTCAATGTCGATTTTTACCTATAAAATTCAGCATGTACATGTCGACTGCGTCTGCGCGAGATTGGTTTTGGAAAAACGATATTGTTGGAACCACGGCTGCAATTTGACGATTGATCACGAAACTTTGTGGATGAGGCTTAGACTCCATTTTTTCTCTAATTTTATAGGTAACAAGTTGATGCAATAAAAACCACGATAATATGTAGATAGGCAAGGTGAGGCGCGGACTAGGTCGCTCTCTTAAGACGAATTTCACGACCCCTTCTCTCATGAGGTGCAAAAAGGTTCCGATCGTGTCGCCTATGGGATACAACAGCCCAGCCTATCTCTCCGCTGTAACTTCACCGAAATTGCACGTTCGAGTGAAGTAGAAGCTTACACCCGACACACAACAAGAGGTCAAAGTAGTATAGAAGAAAGGTGTTTCTTTTTTTTTTTTCTCTTCACCCTCACCTCATTTTACAAGCCACAATGCCCCATTTATATAGTATATAATATGACCCCCATAAAATCTCAATTTAATATATAATTATGGTGTTTTATGTTGGAGAATAATGACTTTGAAGGTTTCAAAATAGTGGTCTAATGACCCTCATAAAAGTGGTCAAAGTCATTATTATATTTTATAATAAAATATATTATTTTTATTAAAAACCCCAACAATCCCCCACTATTTTAATAAAAATAAGAATATTACTAATACTTGAGCTCTTGCGGAATATTATGCATAATGAAAGTGGACAATGCCTTCAAACCTTTACTTAGCACAACATGTTTCCCGTACTAGAATCAAAGTGGACTTAGCCTTCAAACAGTGACCCTTGGGGCACGTAGAATCATACTGCACACATAATACTCAAAGTGTCCCGATCGAAGCTTCTAAAGCCAGCACGTTAACGGCCATGTGCTTTATCCCATTTCTCGTGAGAGCTCTAGAGAACAGCCTTAATTCTCATAGGAAGCGGCCCCACTTCCACACTCACAAGGTGAATTCTATCAAGGATGTTTACGTAACTCCAACACCCCACCCATTCGGGCTATAGAACTCATTAAGAGATCAAAGTCTCAACCTCACAATTCGTTACGAGCTTTATTAGTGCACACGCACCATAGGGATGGATAATAAAAGTGTGCACTTTTATCTCAATCAAGTTGCTTTCAGATCGTTGGTCTCCAACCTAGTTCTTGGGATCTCCAGTCCCTAGGTGGTTGTATCCTCATCAACAACTTTTCGAATAATTTTAGGCTTTAATCCAATCCCCCTCAATGCATTTCAGATGATTTCTGAAATAATGTGAAATATAATTTCACAAATTCAATAGCGCTTATTCGACATTTAGTCTCATGAACTCAATGGTTTATTAACCATTTCGCATATAATTTCATGTATAATTTCACTTCAATTTTCACGTGAATTTTCACATAGATTCACAGTACTGTATTTTCTGTTAATGGTTCCGGAGTCCATTAAAAGATTCTCGCAATATGTCAACTGCAGTGTTTGAATCTCATTTATCAAAGCTCAAAGCATTTGATTTTTCTCAATCATATTTATCAAATCACAAAGCATTTGATTTATTCTCAATCATATTTATCAAAGCACAAGGCATTGATCTATCCCACATCGGGATTTTATATATCACATTAGGCATCAATCGACCTCTTCACAGGTTAATATAAAAAACGCCTCAATCAAAATTGATATGAATTTTGACTTTTAAATATCGACATATAGCTCATTCACACAAGATGAACAATGTAATCAAATAGGAATATAATTCCTTTCATTTAGATTTTCAATAATCAACAATT